TGGAGCCATCTTGTCGCGGTGCAACCATGGATTTCATGCTTGAACGGCGTGCTGATAGCAAGCATTGGAACAGTGCTTTTTGAACTGCCCGAAAGCACGTTTAACTAGTCCAACTTGCTTTAGAGTCATGGATAATGCTGTGACGTAGTGCGCGGAACGACTTACGTCCTCCTGTACCATAACTCCTAAATCCGTTTCTACAGTACCATACGGTATTATTTGGTTTCTAAGACCAAAGAAGAAACGAGTCTTGTACTGCATGGGAATAACTTTGCATTTTGAAATGTTGAATTCATTTTTATTGGCGATTGACCATCGGTGGGCTGCATGGATCGTTTCTTGGAGTGCCATATAATCCTCTGGATTTGCTTCCGTTCTTCAGACTGTTCTCCGGACTATCTGGGATCATTGTTTGGAACACTTGCTTGAACACAGCGGGTCAGGTATAAGCCGCAAACATTTTTTTTCATTCCGCGAACATGTGAAGAAGAAAAAACTACGCTACAGTGTACAACTGTAATGTAGGGTAATACCAAGAAATTATGGATTCAAAACTACTACTCTAGGAGAAGGATCATCTGGGTCTCGTATGGGACAAAACCAATAACATTATTGTTTGTTAATCGTGCTGTATACGATTCTATGAAAACTATTTCACAAAATACCGTTGCATGCGTTTCTTATGCGGTGGAAGTGGTTTGCATCTGATTACCCCTAAATATTGGGATATTTATTATCTCGATCACATTCTTCAAATTTTTAATCTAAAACTGACGTGAAAGTTAATTACAATCGTGGCCATGAAAATTACTAATGCATTTCTAGTTGAGCTTGCTTTGTGTTACTATCACAAAAAAATGATGGAACTACACTATTCATTTCCTTCTATCCGTATGTTTATAATCAGTATTCACGTAGGGAGCCGCTACCAGTGAAAAGGTATCAAGTAACAAATAGAAAAGTGGAGACCACCATACGAACTACCGAGTAATGGACTGAAGTCCTATAGAACTTGATCACCGTTGCCTACAACTTTTCGATTACTGATTTGTGCTCAACCGCATAACCTTAGATTACTTATCACAAATGTGGACGCCAATCCAATCCTGAAGTGAGATGGAATTGGTGACCCTTTGGCGCTATTTTAATAAACGAATGATCGGTGCACCTCCGAGTCACAANTTATTCTTCCGATCTCCCCACTCAGACCAAGACCATATCCCTCTGTAGTACGACCAATAATATAACACATTAGTCAATCAAATTTATGTACGTGTCCAACTTATATTTCACTTCTGACTTAAAGTGTTTGCACTTAATGTTTCGGATACATCAATGTTGTGCATCGTGTGTTGCCTACCATTTTACACTTTCAAGATTGCCTACCCCCTGATGGCTAGGCTGAGAAGCAAACGTACTATATTTATTTTTACAATGCTGCTACTTTCCTGTTTAAAACGAAAAGTCAATCAACTTATTTCGGTGGTATAAAATCTAGTGGTCATGGTCATTCGTGACTTAGGTTCTGCTTGTTCGAGCGATGATATAGTTAGGTTCAGATTGACTTGAACTAAAAGGTAGCAATATGTGCTCAAAGATCAGACCATGTATCTAAAAAGGTCATCAAAACTGTACCCATAATAGGTTTTCGCATCATAATCCCACGTATTTTCCAAAGTGCATACGTTTAAAGTACTGCTTGGTCAAAGGGCATAAATATTCAAGTACATGAGATCTTTAGACGAAGCGGATCTCACTGAAAACAGTTGGCACAGTGCTCGAAATGAATGAGCTTCAACTTGTTACCAACGGTGAACAGGACGTGGAGCACCGATTGCTGGGGAAAGCTTATCAGCTCTCTTAAAAAGCCTTTCTCAAGTCATTCAATAAATTAATTTCGGCAATTACCACAGGATTACATCTGTCTCCTTCTTTTGGACGGATAGTTCAGTTGAGTTAAAAAGGTTGTTTGACCTTTAGGTCAAGTTATGTCAGTTGACCACTCGACATTGCGACTGTGGACGGTTTACTGTGTAGAAGCCGATTGTTTGGAATAGCCTATTCGATTATTCACAGGCATCGGACACTGTTGATAATCTTGGGTGTTGGCTTCACTCCGTTGGGGATAGGTGATTCCCCGCTGGTCAACTGCACTTAAGTGCCATTGAAATCTTCGTAATTACCAAAAAAGAGCAATGGATAACTGTTTCTTCCGGGTAGGGATTTTTCAGAAATGTGTCCTTTCTGTGTCCGTGCCAAGTCTCGAACCATGAAACTTCTGGTCGGATGTCGATATCCTCACCCCTGAGCTACACAGTCAATCAAGAAATTTCAGGACTTTGGCGGGTAATGTGAACTTAATTTGATATTAATGTGTTTGCAGCAATTATTCAACATAGGTTTTTCATAAAATAATATTTTTTTACATGCTGTCACCAACTCTTTGGGTGCCCATCCTCGTCAAACTCATTATTCGTTGTTTCAGATCTGCCAGGGACAGGTTCACGATTATCGATGATGTGACTGATCCCACGGCAACATTATCGGGACGAACGCTATGCGGTGAATTCCGTGTTGTACAGTGCCCACTCAGTTCAGATTCATCAACACTATTCTGTTTTTGCCGTTTCAAGCAAGTAAAACCAAGTTGATTCAACCTCATTTTGGCATTTGAAGAGCATGCATCAAAGATAAATTTAGCAAAACATTCATAGAACCTGACAAATAACGATTTATGTGCAAAGTGTAATACTTTGAGTGATTGTCTTTGTCCTGTAACATCCAACGTGAAATACGTTTGTATGGAAGTCGTACAGCTATGTCTTACTCCAGGTAGACGTCGTGCTTTGCATAGGCGGATCATTTTATAGAACTTCTGTTCAACTAATTTTCACTTCTTTACAATTTGTTCCTTGCTGTACATAATTGATTTTTATTAATAACTGATTTCATCTCTTATCTCAGTTTACCCTACATCAGGACGCGTCACTTGTTCATCACTGAGGGTTGTGCTGGAAGGAAACGCACGTTTGAGCCAAAAGTGTTTATCATTTGCACCCATTCATGCTAAAAGACCAACTCAGATCTCAAGTTTCAAAGAAAATTTGAAAAAAGTGGAAAACAGAGAGTGGGAGGAGGGATCATTTATTGAGTTTTCAAGTACGCTCAATTGAAAAAGGGTTTTTTGAATGCAAATACCAGATTGCTAGTAAAAATGGCAATCTTTTTTCATGTCCGTTTACGTTTGCCAAAATTTCTAAATTGTGAAAAGATGCAAAATACTGAACGAAGAAGTAGTAGTAGTTGCAGTAGTAGTGTTCGTAATAATGTGGTTGCGTCCAGAACGGAGCTGCAGCAATTTTCTCAAAAACTGCATTGTCTGTAAATACAAAAGAAAATGAAAAGCACTTGTCAGTTTCCGAATCAGAAACAGATCACAATTGGGGCCATATGACACGTTTTTACTATACTCTGAATAAGTAAAATGAAATTGATTTCATTTTTACCATTTATTGGATGATTGTAAATCATCTCCAGAGTAGTTGGAAAAAGTGAATTGGGTCATTTTACCATTTTAATATCCATTTGTTTATTTGTATTGTTGTATTGTTTATTTGTATGAAACACTGAATATTTTTCAGACTGAGTCGGTAAAGTGTTTTTGAAAAAGCAGAAAAACTCGAATAACTCTGATCAATTGTTATTCGTATTATATACTTGATGGTATAGTTTCATGCGGACGGTTTATGAAATTTGTACTTTTCACTAAAAATTGTGGTTTTCCTTTTTATCTGGCAGCAGAAATCAAATATTTTGGGTTCAATTTACGCTATACAAAAGATTTATGGTTTCTTCCGCCAACGCAATTTCCAAATTCTCATACATCCCGAAATCCACCTCAGTCCGATTTTGAAAACATTAGTTTGAACGATTTTACAATCTATTTGACAAATAATTCTTTGCCTCAGGACTGACTTTTAAATCCCATTTTAAGATTTTATTTATGTATTATGTTCAAAACAGTGCATAATAAAATTTTCATTGAAAAGGAAAAAGAAATTATTTAACTTTGAAGGTTTTGAAATGACTACCCTTATATAATTAAGAAACTAAAATGAATAATTTTTAACAAAACATTTCTGTTTAAAGTCAAAGATAATAAAATGTTTGCAGTCGGAAATGGGTAAAAGCCAATCAGTGCATCATTAGAAATGGTGTCAACAAGAGGTTACATCTTGGTTCAGGTGACTTACATGAATTTGACATGAGTAATTTTGTTTTGTATTCCAGGTTGTGTTCTGTGTACAAAAAATACCAAAATGTATTTCCGGTTGAAATGGTTAACAAAATTATGCTTTTATCACTCGCTATTATTGACAACGTATTGAAAATCGGCTCTCGTAGCACACGTGAAATGAATTCCATTTTTGCCTGTTCGTTGAGCTTGGCAATTTAATCACAAACGTTTCATCACCGGGTGAGGTGACATTATCTGTGCCTGTGATGTCACCTCGCTCAGTGATGAAACGTTTGCGAATAAATTGCCAAGCTCAGTGAACAGGCAAAATGGAACTCACTAATATCTCACAAAACTAATGTCCATGAAGAAAAATCAACTATGTAGTTTATTCACATTGGGTGTCGTTCAACATTTCAAATGAGGAAGTCAAACACGATATACATTTTAATTTTTGACTGATAACTCTTTCAACCAGATCTGCACACAAACAAAATCCCTGTTTTACCAGACATCCATACACTCATGAGGAACCCCGCTAGACATCTACTCTCATCTGAGCTTATCGGTACGGTAATTCCTCCGGCCTAAACCGAATTTCGATCCCCAAATCAAAGAAATGCCCGTGCAAAGCTAATCTCTCATGCCAACGCAGCGGAACTTATACTATATGCCTGATTTTATCGACTTTCGAATGACTCAAATGTGATTCGAACAACTAAAATCAAACACAGAAGTGAATAGCACAGACTCTCACCATAGTTCACATTTCGTCTTCTTCGTCCATCGGTCCGTCTATGGTGTAGTTCTTTTTGCGATCGAAATCTGCTTCTTTGACCATAGCCTTCAATCGGGCCAATGAAGCACCGTCACTGAGTAGCAACTCGTAGAGCAGAGTTACGATTATGGAACCGGTCAGTGGACTGATGATATAGATCTGAAATAAATTGAAAGAAGCCCGCCTGTTATGATATCTTTTTGAATAAAACTCACAGGCATTATGTTACTATTCTAAAACTATCCTCTCGTGCCTATCGTCTAACACTATGTACTGATAAAATTCTACCGGCATAAAATCACAATGTGCTTCAAAATTCCAATGCATCCTGGCAAGTAAGCGATATTCGCAAATGCAGTGAACGTATGTTTCTCTTCTTTGTCATTTGTATGGTAAAATAAATGATGAAGTAAGTGAAACATTTTTTTTCTTTTGAACACTTATATAACGCATTCAGTAACTCAAATAAAAATCATAAAACGCTAGTCCAAACGAACTGTGCTTTCCGTAGACTAAACTAAGCGTACAATAAAGTAGTAATGAAGAAGAAACAAGAGTTCACGAAGGAGTAACCAGATGTGAACTTCTTTCCTTTCTGAGAGGTTTCAGTCATTACAAGAAGCGTTTGTGACTTTCAATCCAGTCCGAATATTAAATACCATTTATCGCGTTTCCTATGTGAATTAAACGTACGTTTTACTGTTGCGTTCTTCATAGGAATCAATAAAACTACCGTGATGCTTCTAAACTAACCGCCTATGCGATATTAAAACCGGTTTAGAAGACAAAACTAGCTAGATAGTTCGATAGATTTTTATTTACTGGTAATACATCCAAGCATCCTAAACACTTGATGGTCCAACTTTGAAGTTGGCCGGCCACCATTTAGATACTAGCAGAATGCTCTACACAAGAGTTACCGTTCATACACATTGGCCACACTCTGTCCACAGTGAAACACTGCTTGACGCCAGTAGCTCCTTTACAGCGTAAATGAATCAATTGCGGGAAACCTAGCTTGGACTGAATTTATTTCAACAAGTTGAAGTGGCAAAGTGGCTACTTTGAACAGCTTTAAAGTGCGAAATTGTCCAGTTTTGTGCCATTCATGGAAGATAGCAAAGATTGTTTTACATTTGTTGCAACCAGAATTCCTGGATGGTAACTCTTCTTCAAGGAGAACGAACAAAAGTGACTAACCCAGATTTCTTTGAAGTTCAAATTTGCCAGAGCTCCTCCGAGACTGAGAGCCGGGTTCATACTTCCTCCAGTATAGGGTCCCTGTAGTAGAAGAAGTAAGGGTAATAATTGCTGTTGTTGTTGTTATCGCCAGAAAATAAGAGGAGTAAATTCGAAGGGAGTAATCATGTATATTGTTTCAAGGACCTGAAACTTTGAAAAGCTTCCTCAACCCTTTAGGTATTCGTAAATTATACTGAATACTGAGCTTTGAATGCTACACACGCAACGAAACAATTCGGTTTTAAACCCACAAGGCATCGTATGATACCGGTTCACTACGTCTATGCATCTCAGACGGAACCCATTTGGACAAAATTGTCTGAGGTCACCATCCTAGTTGATAACGAACATCGGGTTGTGACCCCGTATGATACAGTTCGAGTCAATTATGGGGTGAATAGTTCAATTCAGCTATTGTGCTATCGTTGGTAGGACGAGTGATTTCACATGATATATTTGAAAAGGTGTTGAGTTTATTCCTCTACAAGCATTAGTTAAATTACATTGGTGAAAACTGAATCCGTTCAAGATACGCTAGATTTTTACTTGAGCTACGTAGGCGCACGAATTGAACGCATGTGAAGAAATATCTGCAAATGCTCTCAAAACTTTAGACGCGATGAAAATAGCTGTAGTGACCGACAAAGTGTACTGGCCGGTTATTGTTCCTATTTGCGAGTTGTTGGCAGTGCGTACCACGAATTTTCGGGTCGGGAATTCAAACCCTTAGCCCTGAGTTACACGACCGACGGTTATCACCTTGTGCGAATGGCTCCGTAAATTGAGAATATCAAGTTCGGTCGAAACCCACACTCAAGACCATCAAGATTGTCTGGTGCCAATGAATAATCAAATGATCTAATCCAAACTTTATACTTTAAAAGCTCTCAAAGCTCTTTAAACATTTCGTAACAGATGGATTATTTCACTTCACAAAATCGAAAACACACAAAAGGATGGGAACTTGTGGTACTTACTGCCAAGGTAAATAATAGTAACAGGTATTAATAATAACAATAATACACAACCACTATAAGCGAACATTAAATTAACAAAAGTCAAGCATTTAGTGCTACTGAGGTCAGTCGTAACCTCATGGAATCAGGTCACCAGAGTTATTCGAAATGTATTTATTTGCCAACACAATTGTCATTTGACGCGCACCATAGATTACTTGCACATTGGTTAACGGTACGCTCGTCCTATCTGGTTGTTATTAACTATGGTATCCAAATTATTAGGCGTCTAGGTGATCAGGCTTGCTATAGAAATTCGAACATGTGGTTACAATCATTCAGCTTTTCCGAAGAGACCCAAAGGGAGGAATAATGTTAGTTCGTTCCTTTCTCTTTGCAACATAATAATCAGGTATTCAATAGCGTTCAGATTCAAACATGAAGTTTCCCATAATTTCTGAGTTTTGGGAGTGAATAAGTGAAAAGTATTTTGTTACAAAGCTAAGAAACCTCGAGTTAGATAAAACATGGCATACAAAGCTGTAAGACGAAATCTGCTTTTGTGAGTCTGCTTTTGTGAAGATGCTTGTGAAATTGATTTCCAAGATAATTTTCATAAATTTTACCTTAGTATTGAGGTTCGGATGAGTTGTCCCTCGATACGTCTGGGGTGAAAAACGCTCAAAGTAGCGAACTCGATCAGCAACAAAATTGCATCCTGTAACTTTTTTGATGATCTGAGCTGAAATTAGATTTCTATCTGCTTGGTCTCCACGGTTGTCTATCGATAAGTAACCCATATGAGTATGAACTCAGCGGAAACCATGAGTTTGCACCACGATATACTTTCGATTTTGATAAATAAACTAATAATTCGCGATAAAATGTCCAAAGAATTTCGAGTAAATCTCTGGATACTACTGTCAGGTTTGTGTGCTAAATGAATTTTAATCTATCAGTTACTATGCGTTTATCACATGTGTTCTAAATCTAACCAAGGTTACAATCAACCAATTATAATAATGTTTCATGTCTGCTGAAAATGAATACAAATTGTGTCTGAGCGAACATATTTTAATGAATATTCTGAATCCAAAGCTGTCAGGAACGACCTCTCCCCAGGTCGCGGATGTTACGGAATGCTGACACTTGATTACATGACAATTAAACTGTAAATCTGAATCAACTCGTAAACGCTCTCGATCGAATTCATGATATTGGCTCTAGACAGCATCTATTTGCTGCACTTCATTGAGGTGAGCAACAGGCATTTTGCTCACAAAACGGCACCTACTAGTGGGCTTTGATGTTGACCGCGGGGACCGACACGGACTTTGGACTTTGTGCCGACAAAAGCTCACAATCGTTGGTCAGCATTGTTGAAATTCTGCAGAACTGCTAAACAGAAGGCTGGAATTATCGGGCGTAATGCATCTGTTTGAGAATTTGAATGAATAAGAAACTGTCGTGCTGTGTGTTCCATGGGCGTATGAAACAGACGTGGGTACGTTTGAGTAAGAACAATGAGGAAGTGGTACGTTGTTCAGATCAAGAAATATTTCTAGTTCATAAGCTAAATATGAGTAGATTGGAGTAGGATAACAATCAGATCTCAGTCGGAGCTAAAAGTCACGACCGAAATTTATCCATCAATGCATGAGGTGTGTTTTTCAGCATTTTATGAGAGACAAAACCTGTTTTCGAAGTTGAATACATGGGCAATATAGGTGTACAACGAGAGCCAAACCTATGCTATGAAATTTCAAAAACCTTCACTAGTAAGCTTACAGTAATCGTTTATGATTCTCTCCAAGTGGCAGATAATAATACACTTACTACGACGGAGGCCAACATAAATAGCGTGATACCGAACATGATCGGGAACACGCTCAGGTTGCCTACGGTCCACGGTTTGCCGCGGAACTCATCGGAAACGGCAAGCACGATACCGACCAGTATCATGGTGGCAAACACTTCCAAACCGACTGCTTGAGGTACACTGACGTCTGGATTTCGGATTGTCATGCCCACATTCGGCACATTTGTGACGTTCGCGGGTCCAGCAATACGACCGAGAAGCACTCCACATGTGGCACCAAGAATCTGTGCTACAATACACACAATCCCGTGCACCACAGACAGACGGCGGGTGAGGATGAGAGCCAAAGAGACGGCCGGGTTGACTTGTGCTCCACTGATTGGACCGAAAACACAAACCACCCAAGCGAATACTGCACCGACCACACACGGCACTGGAGCCGCAAGTTTATCACCCGGTTTATAAATGACAATGACAAATAGAATGAGTCCAAGCCCGAGCAGTTCGGCCACAAATAGTCGTGCCAAATAAGCCATATGGGTCAAGGTGCAGCTGGGTATCTTATTCATCGTCGGTTTGGCTGGGTATTCTTGAACCAGGCTAGAACCCATGATGTATACAGAATTAGATGAACTGTTCACCCGCACGGTATGACAGCCTGAAATATTGAAATGCATATATGATAAATTCCAAAGACTGTCATTAAACAGGCAGTGGTGTGGGGCTTTGTAAGCAAAAATCTTCAGTTGACAGAAAGCAGGATCAGGCAATATTTACACATTTTAGCTAATCGATAGTCCATTTAGGAACGTTATTTTTGAAATCCCAATTCCAACTCACAACAACAATCTTCAGGGAACAAACTTACTGAACGCGTCTAACTTGCTTTAAAATCTACCCCCACATAATGCAGTGTTTAAAAAGCAATGCATTTGGCCAATTTTTACGCAAAGGAAATGTTCCAACCGCTGGGGCGATGGTGATCAATTGAACCTACTGTCACACAAGATTTTGAATCGCCCGTGTGACGCACTCACTTTAACCAATTTTAAAACTGAATCCCGAAAACAATATTGGATAGATAATCCGATTTTTCTTTAATTTTATTTCCAACAGTGAAACAAATGAAATTACAAACTCCTTCCAAGAGTCATAACACCTTAGTTTTCTCCTATTCCAACAAAGAATCCACCACATTCGATGTTTTACGGATGCGAGCTTAGGTGAACATAGGAAAACAAGATCGGAGCAGTCAGAAGCATCAGTAAATACAGGCCACTATTTTGGTCAAGATCTTGATCTTGACACTGAAGTGGACTCATAATACAAAAGATGGTCTCTATCGAGAGAATATAGCCATTGAAAAATGTCAAGTGTCCAACACGTAAATACTTCGCATTCAACTCACAGTTATCTGTGTACAAATTTAACAGCAGTTGTCTACTTCAAATTGTTGCTCATACTCCTGTCACGCAGGAATGATCTTATAGCTAAATGGAAAAAATAACAGATCATTCAAGGGCAAATTAAAAACGAGATTAGGCGATGCATTCATGTAAAAAACAACCACAAATATTAAATGCCTAAGTAGCTCACTTAAATTAAGTCTTGTTTTGAGATAAAATGACCCGGATTGTTCGCACGGGGTGTCACTGATATGCTATAACTTGACAGGTCGCTTGATAAATGATACTCCTTAATTTATGTGAGTTCATGCGACCCCAGGCGTGTGTTTGAGTGTGTGGGTGTTCGCACAAACACATGCACAAGCGAAACACCAATCCTTCCCTTCTCCTTTAACCTGGACGACACGAATTACCGCGGTCTGTCCACATGATGATGATGATCATCATCATTTGTTGACCGTTGAGACGCAGACAGCGAACACAAGTCACGCGCACCAATGTGATCCTGCAAGGCGGATTTTGGTTTGTGAGGTCGCTGCATTGCACAACAAACGTGGCACGGAAAAATGCGTGTTAGGCTCGCTCAACGTAGACATATACATGCACAAACACACGTGCGCACCAGTACACTCGCGCACCGTCACGCACCAAACCACTGTCCCAAAGCCAATGTGTGTTTGATGTGGACATGCAATGGTTCGCGCAGACTATCTCCCACCAACCCTATTTGCTACGAAACCTTTGGACTATGGAGACAGTGGATATGAAAGAATGAATCCCAGTGATCATCCCGAAAGTAATCCGGATAAGTTGCTGCGGACCAAAGCACGGAAAATACCGACAGATTCACGATGTTAATTGGCTTGGTACGGATGCGTACTATCGGATGCATGGATCGAGTATAAAATATGTGAATTGTGCTTTTGTAGTGACCGTACGCTTTAGAAATAAATTTAATTAGTCACTCGTTTCTTGCGAAAATAGAGCAGTTTGAAAGCGATATCCAGACAGGAAAATAAAAACAGGTCAATTCTAAGTAAAAATGATCAGAACGCATTTTGATGGAAATTTTGCAATAATTTTTCGTTTCACGAACAGTAAGCTACATTGAAATGATCAATCAGGCATATTGATCAAAATGTGAGAGCGAAAGTGGTGTAGAGATTTTCAAGATTATTCTACCGGACTTGAACTAGGACGGAAAACACCTTTCCTAGACAAGCAAACCGACTGGGATAAACCTATGAATATAGACCTTACGCGACAAACTCATCGGATAAAACATATCTGCATTGATTTCCAGTTATGTTGTTGCTTCTATTAGTTGAACACCTTATGGAAGTATGCTTTCTCCAGTTCGACGGTGTTTTTTAGATGACGAAACCTCAGTGGTAGAACATCATAAAAATTTACTCACAAAAGTGACTCGTATTCATGATACAGGTTGTGTACTTTTATTTCATCAATGTCCCTTTTGCTATGTTTTATTGTTGCTTACTTACACTGTATATAGACGATAAACCATGTACCATTTAAAATACTTTTATTGACCAGATTAAGCACCCTTTTAAAAAATGATGTATAGGAAAGAATGAACTTTCAAGCTGCTTTGTGTCAAGCATTTTCTTAATCTGCGCCGTAACTTCCTACCTACGGCGAACTTCGTGGTGAAAAGAGGAATCACGTTGATTCAAGTAAAGATAGAATAGATTCCATATTTCGGTGGGAGATAAATTTTGTTATAGGTGCTCGTCACCCATAACTGTCAATACACAAGTATGATATTAAAAACTGAAATATACTTCTATATATATCTATATCTATACATTACTCCAATGTAATAGTTGTTTATCAGGTTTCAAAAGTGGTAGTCTTTATGTACCGCTTCTCCTTATTCTCTAGTCTATCTAATAAGTCGAAACCAAGCGTCATAATTCTTTTAAATTTCGGGATTGATAACAGATGAGACTGTGATGTATGATGAGTGCGGCTTAGGTAGCAGGAAGCTGTATGGCCGTGCTTGTGTAATGCCATCTGAACTCGCCATGGAGGCTCGCGATAAACCTGTTCAGTGGATGTAGCAGCCTTGTTTCTGATGGAGTTGAGCGGTGATCGTCCGTGTGCAGATGGCAATGATGGTTTGAAGGAGCGGACTGCGCACAACAAAAAGCATGATATGCAGAATTCCTCAAAGTACATCGGCGACATTGGTCAGCTGATCCTCACGACCTCACCTTAAACATTACAACGTTAACACAGGCTCCTTCAAATGTAACATTATAATAACTTGTCACAAAAGGAGATCGCACAAGATATATTTCTCACCAAAAATCAAGCGGCCTTTTACATCACCACACATAGTCGTGTCTACCTGAATATGTTTGCAATACTAAGTATCAAAATCAGACCGCGCTTTCCTTTTTCATAGTTTGTTAGTGGTTTGCATATATATATATGTTTTGTAAAACAAAACATCGAATCATAGCATTGGTTCTTCATTGGACTGGCTCTGAAAGAGCTGTCTATCCAATGGCCACTCGGCGTTGCAAACAAGGTTATTGTGACGAAAATACACTTCCTGGGTACAAGTATATGAATGAACTGACAAAAGATTACCGGATACGGATGCCTGACGAGCAGCAAGAACCGCGAAACCGGTCGTGTGCTTCCAGGGGAAATTTTGTCCAGTCGTTCACATACTACTTACTATCAAATATTCCACCAAGACCATCAGGTCACGTTTGTTGCGGTTAGTAGCATCTAACTCACTTACAAAACATCGAATCATAGCATTGGTTCTTCATTGGACTGGCTCTGAAAGAGCTTTTTATCCAGTGGTCACTCGGCGTTGCAAACAAGGTTATTGTGACGAAAATATATATATATATATATATATATATATAAGGCGAGTACAGTTCAGTTTATAAAGATCACAGAGGTGATCTGTAGAGTGGGAGAATGTGACAAGGATAGATAAATAGACAGATAGGATAGTAGTTAATGCTAAAGACCTGGAAGGGGTTAGTCTTTCAAAAGCAACTTTTAGAAGGTCCCTGCAACTGAATCGTATATTTTTCTACCACTCGACCGGTAAGGTTAAAACAAACGAAAGATGGGCTACCTCATCAATCCATTTTCTTCGTTTTTTCTTTCCACGTGCCCTTGAAAGGTGCGATACATTGAATATACAACCGGGTGATTATCAAAGCGTATTGCTGGGCACTATCCTGCAAACTTCTACAAAGATACGCTCATGTGCATTCACAACTCGGTTCTGATTGATAGTAGGCATGTCTTGAATAAATTGGATGCAATAAAAGTAAATCATACTACACCCCGTCTAATAGAATAAGAACCCACATTTTAACCGTGGCTGAGGCGATTGCAATTCATAATTTCAACTGTGAACTATGTAAGGAAAAGAAGCCTGTCTAGACACTGTTGTTATCTTGGACTGGAGGGCAGATTGATTAAGTATAAAGCAGAGCATCGAATTTCCTCCTCACATACCCGCCCCTACTAGGTATTGTCTACCATAATCTTAACGTCAAATTATTTTTGTCTTCACTGTTCCCACCCGATTATATCACTTGCTATGCATGACAAGTATTTGACGTAACTTCATCTAGCTCTCACCTCTTAGCTCACATCTTGCATCAACATTTTAATCAGTCAACCGTTATTCTATTTGAGCTTTGTCTATTTATCCTCCCACGACTTTAGCATTGAGTACCTCGAGCTTTGTCCTATTCGCTTGCTACGTTTGCTGCTCTCTGTGACTGGTATCAATTGAACTGGGGTCGGCCAATCAGGTATCTGTACAATGATCGCCTTATATATTTGGCCTCCTAATGAGGTATAGTGAAAAGAAATTTCTTTGCGAATACAATTTGTGGCACCTCGTCTATAGGAATATTTTATAAAGTGAAAAATGAAAAACGTATTCCTGCTTTTCAATCCTTTCGTAAGATATTTTCAAACTATTTTTAAGAAAACAGATTGTGAGGTATAAAAACAAGTGTTTTCTACAACTGGTTTTGGGGTTAGATAAACTCTCTGTGTATCCGTGGATATGTATGATAGGTTACCTCCGCGGTACCTGGATATGCAGCTTTGGGTCATTCCCAAGTCGAGGAATGATAGGTGATTTCTCTAATAAAGGGAGAGTAGAGAATCTGTTATCAAGGTCAGTGTGCGGCGTGGAA